AGAATTCGTGAAAAAAATGTGCGCGATTATTAGTTGTGCCTGCGATCTTCCTCATTTCGGCGTGCGCTGTTGCAAACAGGTGCTTTAATAACATGCGGGTGAACTGAAATGCTCAAGCACTGTCAAAAATACCGAAGGAATCGCAAGCAGAATTGAGGAGTTGGAGAATGGACTTGGCCGATGTCTTCTGACAACTCCGTTCAGAACACAACGATTTGTTGAGGACTTTATGTTTAAAATGTTGGTGAATTAGAGAATTGCATTAACTCAGTTGTCAATTTGCATATGAGTAATATGCAAATTCATTCGCGATGGGTATACTGTTATAATTTAAATATTAACAATGTGTAATACCAAGTGATGATTTTAATGTCGAATCATTCGAAACATAGAGATTTATGTAAAGGCATCTAATAGTGAATGTTCGCAGGACCCACAGTCAGACTAACTGAGATCATGATATTTGGATTGAATTCAACCCCCCTTTCCCCGTTTAAAGTGATAAAAAATTGCAATATAAGTGGGTTTGTCAATGTACGCAGGCCACATCGCCATAGCTCTTGTTCAAAAACTAAGGCATAAAGCTCCATTGCTTCAATCTAACAGCATACAATGCGGTTCCGATTGGACATTTTTGCTCCAATTGCAACTGACTGGAGCAAAAATTGTTCCTTGACCTCAATTGTGACGCGAAATGAGCTTCTCTTATTCGTCAATTGTGCTGTACTCTATTCACAGATTCTTCGGTCACCACTGACTGACGGCAAATTAATCAAGCCAGAATTGTTCTCAGAATGTCAAGGCCAAGACGATCGACTTCCTAGATTGCCTTCTCCAGAAAATATGCAGCAGTGTAGCCATGTGAACATGATTCCTCGGAGTTGACCTCAAGCATGGAATGGCCGCCATGAGCTGTTGACCCATTAATGCAAACAAATTGCTCCGCACAACTTTGGTTTGGGGATTATCCTGGTATAATGTCGTCAGTCGTAGTGGTGTTGGATCTTAATGTAAATATTTGCAACATTTGTAACGATTTACAGTGCAATTTATACCACCCAAACAAAACAAACACGCTAAGATACACTTCTATGAAGATTTGAACAACACCAGAGATGAAATCGCCTTAAACAGGAAATTGGCATTGTGGAACGTTTTCTTCGTCACCTAATGTCCGCTCTAACAGCGTTGAATGCATCCCAATTAAGCTACTCTGATACCCGCACAAACAGCAAAATCCATAGACAGTGATGCACCATCAGTTTTTAGATATCTCAACCAAGTCGCGCATGTCAAATGAGTGTGTAATCAAGTTCGTGGCTGACTGGTGCCGTCTGGGTGAATTTGCAACAATGCAA